TATCAAGCCAATTGCAAAATTTGTCAGAAAAGTGCCCTGACTCTAACCCAGGATGCTGTAAAACTTGTAAAGTTGCTGCTTCACCATCATTTAAATGACATACTGCATCATAAACACCTAGTTCAAAGACATCTCTGCCAAATAAGTTGTTTTTGGAACCCTGTCCCAAGTAACTCATTTAGGTTTTGGGTCATGCCATGAAGGCATGGTCATTTTATATTCAGCAGCTTAGTTACAAATTTATAAAAATAAGATAATTATATAATAATTAACAGTCCATATACTAACTAACAATTTTAACAATATAAAGTTGTCTAGGTAGCTGAGAGGTACCGCAATGCTTTTTGAGCCCAGCCCCCTAAATATTGAATAATGTAATCTAATAATAGTAACAATGAAAAAATAAGTATATTTTGAAAGGTATTATTAACGATTACAAGTTATTTATTTATTTGAATACTATATCAAGAACAAGAACAGAACAGTATAATAAGGGTTAATATAGAGAAAAAGAATTATGATATAAATAACAAAGTAAAACGGGGTTAAAGATAAAGGAAAAGGAAAGGGGGACGGGGGAGACCCGAAAATATTTTGCGATGATTTGTTTTTGTTTGTTTTTGTTTGTTTTTTGTTTAGATATATTTTGCAAAAAATCTCATTCCATATTTTGACTCCGTTGAACATAATAGATCGCTTTTTGAGATTTGTTTTAGCTTGGGGTGTATTTTTTATTTGCAGCTTGTCTGTACTACACTTACGTGACAAAAGTTTTAAGGGTGTAGACCCCCCAGTGCATATTGAAATTTCAATTTTTCGACAAAAATTTTTTTTTTAGCCATTTATGTAGAGAATTGATTTGCCGTTTTACTGATATATAGACATAACGGTATTTTAACTGCGTTTTTTTGCTATTTAACCTATTTTGCTAAGTTGTTGAGAATTTTGCTAATTTTTTCCTTGGCAACGCCCTTAGCAACGGTTTTCCTCCCTCTTATGAAGCCCCTCCTCACTAGACAAATAGCTTTCAATTATGTTATGTTATTTGGAGAATGTGAAGGAGCTTTTCAGCCTCGTTTTGCAATGTTCAAAAGGCCACTGCCATTTCTTTATCGTTTAAGTTGGTCAGACAAAAAAGTTAGTCTCGTACTACCATGGGAAAATTTAGAAGCTTGCGTCGTTCAAAGAGATCATTTATGGCTAATCAACATGTAAAGGTCAATAAGGATGATGTAAAATTTAAAGCAAAATGCAAAGGACGGCCTAAAAAGAAGGAGACTAAAGTCAAAGAAATTAGGCCAGTTCAACTGTCACTTGACTCATTACCAACTACATCGGGGACTGTTAATCCATTTGTTTCATCTACTCCGATACAAAATCGATCAGCAGAATCAGGGAAGTCACGTTCGCTTACCAAGATATCAAAAGCACGACAAAACTTTAAAAGGTTGTCTGAAGATATCAACGAACGTTGTACTACTGAAACAGGCTATCGTTTAATTGACATGGAGTTAATTTCGCAAGCTTTCAAAGTGCTTGCCTGTCCTGAATGTTTGTCTTGTTCATTGGAAGTGAAGGATAACCACAGAGCAAAGAATGGGTTTGCAAACAAACTATCCTTGACCTGCCAGGAGTGTTTTTGGTCCTATGAATTTTTTACCTCCAAAATAGTGAAAGGAAGTTATGAAGTAAACAAGCGTTTTGCTTATGCAATGAGAAGGACTGGAAATGGCTATGCAGGTGGTAAAAAGTTTTGTGCTGTGATGAATATCCCAACAATGCCTACTAAGAAAAACTTCATGAAATTGAACTCCTCCCTGAAGTCAGCTGTCTATGATGTTGCTCAGGAAAGCATGAAAAATGCAGCAAATGAAGTAAAGAGCATAATTGGAAAGGATAACACAGATTGTGGTGTATCAGTTGATGGCAGCTGGCAAAAAAGGGGATTTGTATCCTTGAATGGATGTGTAAGTGCAATATCCATGGATACAGGAAAGGTGGTAGATGTTGAGCCTATGTCAAGGCATTGTAAAGGATGTGAAACACATTCCAGTCTTGATAGGAACTCTATCACCTATCAAAATTGGAAAGAAAAGCATCTATGCAAAGCAAATATTCATGGTTCTGCTGCTGCCATGGAGCCTGAGGGTGCAAGAAGAATTTTCGCAAGGTCGGTACAGAAACATGGAATTTGTTACACAAAATTTTATGGCGATGGAGATAGTAAAGGTTTTCACGCTGTAGAAAGGATATACGAAGAAACAGGAAAACCAGTTGAGAAGCTTGAGTGCATTGGTCATGTGCAAAAAAGGATGGGAACAGCATTAAGGAAGTTGAAAAAGGAGACTAAGGGCTTAGGTGGGAAAGGAAAGCTGACTGACAAGTTAATTGATAAGATTCAAAGCTACTATGGTATTGCCATTCGTAGTAATTCTGGTAACCTTGAATCAATGAAGAAATCAATATTGGCGGTTTTATTTCATTGTGCTTCATCGGAAGATAATCCATACCATAATTACTGCCCAGAGGGAAAAGATTCTTGGTGTGGTTTCAAAGCAGATAAGGCAAATAACACAAGCATTTTCAAGCCAGGCAAAGGTCTGCCAATGCAGGTTATTGTTTTGTTGAAACCAATCTTTGCAAGGCTCAGCTCAGATGAATTACTGAAAAAATGCCTTCATGGCATGACCCAAAACCAAAATGAGTCATTCAACAGAGTTATTTGGGACAGGGTTCCAAAAACAACTTATGTTGGCAGAGATGTCTTTGAACTAGGTGTTTATGATGCAGTATGTCATTTTAATGATGGTGAATCAGCAACTTCACAAGTTTTACAACATCTTGGGTTAGAGCCAGGGCTCTTTTCTAACAAATTTTGCAACGAGCTTGATAACAGCAGAATTTATTCATCTGGATATAGAGAACTTGACACTACAAAACTAAAAAGAAAGGGATTGAGAAGGAAAAGAAAATCAAAAGATGATAAGATTAAAGAAAAGGAAGGAGATACTTATGGACCAGGACAGTTTTAGGCAGCATTATTTTTATTAAATTTTACGTTGTTTTATTTCATATTGTAAATCTTGCGTAAGGACTTTGACATTAACATTTTTAATTTTGCAACCACATTAGGTATTAAGATGAAATTTTCACAGTGTTTCTTATACATATAGAGGTATGCAATGGAGCAGTATAGGCATTATTGTTAACATGGGGGTCATAGGAAATTCAATTTACATCTGTGAATTCGCGTGATTTTGAGTACCTTTCTTAAAATTGGAAATTCCTGGTTAATCAAACTACCAATTACCATGAGGTTGCTTCATTGCAAGCTTCTTATGATAAGTAACATAATCTAAAAATTTCATTGCTGTAAATCTTGTAGTTCTTTCATGAAAATTGTTGGCGTGAAAACCTTTTCGAGTGATATTTTAGCATTAATTGGTTGCCATGGCAACATTAGAGTCACCATCTTGAATCTAATTGCCTTTTCTTGCTTTTATATATGTATGCTGTAGATATTACTCCTCATCTGGCTTGTTTCTTCAGTATTTATAGTTTGGGGGGTCTACACCCTTAAGACAAAATGGCGGCTCCAAAACTGGCCTTCTAACATTGATTGAACAAATCTTGCTGTTTTGGCGGGATTCTAGAAATGGCGTCAGCAAAAATGCAAATCCCAGCAAATTCAATTTATTTCCTACCCTTCTACATAGAAAGGTAACAAAATGTCGAGGTAAAA